AAAAAAAAAAAAAAAACTGCTACTAAAGGAATAAGCCATTTGAACTATTATGTTCTAAAATTAAATCAAATTGCGTGCGCTTCCCAAACATCCTGTTACGCACTTCCGTCCCACTTCGCGTAATAACTCCCACAAATCGCACGAAAGCGAGAGGAAAGATATTACACATCAAAAATTCATCGTCCGTTGCGCCGATTGTCTCTCCAGTCGTCCCCATGCGCAGCTATCCCTGACGCGTTTTGTTCAGCGCTAGAGTTACGTGCAGCGACCTGTGCGTATTATATGTAGATAGCAGAGTAGAAGCCTTCTGCCTCCAATGTTGCACGTGTGGAGATATATGTAAATTACTTTTATTATTTGATCCTTCTTGACGACTATTATATTTAAAATGATACTTATTTGTAACAATTGCATGATGAGCATTTTTAAGTGAAACTTCTTTACGCACGCTTGACTTGGGGGGTAAGCTGGCGAATGCGTTACGCGTTACGAAAAGTGTGTTCGGGCGAGGCGAATGGCAGTTGAGTGGGGGATATAAGCAAGAGAAAGTAGTGCGCGCGCACATTTTCTTTCTCTCGTTCTCTTACAGCTAGTAAATGAAATATGTATATGTACATACATGTATATATTGTAGACACACATATTATATATGTATATATTTAAATAAATATATACATACAGATGGAGCTAAAGAAGTTTCACTTCAGTCGAGTGTGCTTATACTCGTTTTTTTATATGTAAGTACCTTTTTTGTGGTGCATCTGAAATTGGTAAAGGAGGGAAAATCTTAGAACCAACGAGATTTGTTGCAAGCGATTTTCGCTTTAACTGCAGAGTACTATCAATATGTTTGAATCACTTGATAGAATACAAGCAGAAGTTTATAAATCTAAGAGCTCGTTGATATTCTTCACTCATGGTTCTCTGTAAACGATTTCAGTATTTTCAATTACAGGGAGATTCCATGTAGATCTACGATTCTTATTTAAAACGGTTGTGTAATGTACAATTAGTATTTTTTCTATGTAAAATGACGAACAAATATATGAATTTCAATGTGCAAATTATCAATGACTGCGCTCAATCTATTTTATGTGAACAGATTGTATAGCGACATAGCTATTTTGGTGACTAACATTATATTGTGTTATTTATGCGAATGGTTCTTTGTTTCTCACATTAATGAAAGTCATCGGTACGAATTTATAATGTAGAGTAATTGTAGACATATCTGCGTGGTGGGTGAAGAGTAAGAGTGGATGATGTGTGATGGGGCCTTGTAAGCGCCTCTGGAGCGCTGTAGACTGATGTGTTTGGCTGGATGTTATTCGACAAAGTCCAAAATGGATTTTTTTATTGACGGATGTTTTATCCATGTGTTTGCAAGTGTTCTTGCCTATTAATGTACCATGATTCGCGGCACATGAATTGTTTTTTTAAGCAAAACCACTGATAATTGTGGTGGTACTTTATTTATAGATCTGTTCAAAGTTGACTGCCTTTTTCCTTATTCATTTTAATTAGTAGCCAATATTTATTGTTGAACTTTTTTACGTAATGTGTTCCATTTCCTCATACCTATGTGGGGAATTGAGATTTGACTGGGATATAAAGGTTATATTTCTATTTATCCGCAAAGTTGCATTACAACCGTTTGTGTTCTAGTTAGGATACGTATTTTTTACACGTCGTTTTTGTAATTTAGCGAATTTAATTTTCGAATTCGAGTAATTGTGCCAATTTGCCAGTACGACATGTTTGTAGAACAGTATTTCTGGTTACCGGGCAGTTGGCCAGCCAATTTCACTAGTCACAACATGTAATTTTTGTAAGGCTTATATTCCACTAGAACATGGAGATGTGCCACAAAAATCGCCATTATAACAACTGGGCTGTTACCGAACTGATGAATAGAGTCTTAGTGGGATATAGACCAAATATTACTGTTTAATACTACATGCTATCTCGCGATAGCGACATCGGGGGCTGGACGGTGGCGACATTAAGTTCACATCAATGTTATAGATACATAGTAAGCCTCTAGGATCCAGTATGAGTATTACGCTCGCCGCTATGCCGTTCTGCCTCCACAGTGTAATAAAAAGATTTTGTTTAGTATAAAATACTTAAGAGATTAACAGTTGCCTGTCGGTGACAATTTTTTTTACAAGACTGCTCATTAGCAAAATATTTCAAGGTTCGAAACAAGTGCGCACGAATGAACTTTGACCTGTCAATTCATTATGCATATCGAACCAAGTAATAATGTTTAGCGATTAAAGGCTAAAGGTAATATATAGAAAATACAATCGATGCAGTGTTTAGTTATATTTTTGAAATTAAATTGTTTAGCTCATATTTAATGGATTCATAAGGAAATTGTGAGCCTTTGAGTTCATGTTATATAGTTGATTTATCGTCGCCCCAAACGGGCCACCGACCACAACCACAAAACGCCGCCACGAGAAGCTAGAACAGGCTACTAAAGTGGCTGAAGCGCGCGACAGCGGCCGACTAAGGTAAGGGAGAGAGGGGTGGGGAATCGCGCGAGTGACGTGTGGCGGCGTTTTATATCGGCGCATTTAGTGGTCGGTGCGGGCCACAAGAAGCGAACAACGACGATTTGTAGCGTGTGGCGGCCACCGGCGTACCGTGTGTGGCGAGTCCATATAAAATGTATGAATACTACAAGAAATATGCCGGTGGCGGCGTTTTGTGGTTGTGGTCGGTGGCCCGTGTGCGGCGACACTTAGTTGTTAGTATACACACAGCACCACAATCTGTCCATGTTTGTGTTTTATTCACCCTGGTGTTTATAGTGGTTTCACATTGGCCGATATAGTGATCATGCTCTTCGGTTCAATTATGTAACTGGTTTTGAACAAAGTTAGATTATTCACTTACAGAGCACAGTAATCGCGCCTATTTGCTAGCGTGAAAACACTATTTGAGGAAATGAACAAATATTTATTGACACAAAATTATACATAAATGTTCAAAATAATATTTATTGAAATATTGTAAATATTCCTTTGTATAATGCAATTAGTGAAATTAGTTTGCTTTATTTAAGTATTTCATAAAAATGTTTATGATTAACATTATAAATAATAAATTTAAATTATTGACTGATCACTTTTTATTTTTATTGTAAAAAAATAAATAACAATCATGATAACAAAAATAGTTGTATTTCAAAATTATCGTTTTACATAAATTACATCAATTTACTTTCACTTAAAACAACAAAATTTAATAAGAGTTATGTATAAATATCGCAGAAACAACAAGGAATTTGTCCTATACAATTTTAATAACGACATATTTCTAGTCCTTTCTTTCATTACCAGTTCCGTCTTCCCCTACCGATAGATTACAAGTATTTTCATGTTAATTTTATAGCATAATCTCAAAGAAAACTTTTAAAGTGTTTTAAAGTAAAAAAATATTTATTATACTTTCATTAATTTGAAGTACCTATAATCAAGCACATACATTCACATTACTAGTTTCTTTATTGCAAAATAATACCATAAAAATGAACCTAAACTTTATGTATACAAGGCCAACATTACCGTACGAGATACTTAACGAGGGGCTACCGTTTTTTGTCTCACCAGACAGCGCTACTGTTGAGTGAGGTCCTAAAATGTAGTTTTGTTTTGTTTTATTAATATATATTTTTGTTAATACGCGCGTGAAATCAAAGTTAACATTCAAATCATATTTTAATACAAAATAACCGTATCGTAAACATAATTGGCCAGTGTAGCGCAGTTCCGTTTTGTTCGGAAAAAAAGGAGAAATAATATTTTTTCTTAGCTCCGCTTTTAAATAACTGACATTCATTGACACGTAACTCATATTTGCCATAGTTAATCGTGAGTTGTTACCAAATATCAACATTATTTTAATTAGAAAAAAAATCCGCGCCACCACAAGCAATAACATTTGACATTTCGGAGGCCTCACGCTACACTAGCGCCTCTAGCGGCGGATTGATACGAAGACAGGACAGACAGACATAGAGAAAAGACAGACAGGCATAGAGAAAGTTCTCATTGAAAAAATCTTTATTTATTACTAGATATATATTATTTATGTACTAATATACTTATATCTGTACATCTACGAAGTAGGGATAAATTGTCATAAACATACCACTTTACCGGTAGGGATAGATGAAAAGAGCGGAAATTTACTCGTTTTAATAGTATGGACTTTTGATAAAGTATGCACTGTATACACTGTCATAGTCTGCAAATAATCTTGTCAGTCTACATGAGTAAATATTTATGTACAATGTGGTCGTTTACAAAAACCCGTAGAAAATCATATTCAAGTTATTAGTTTTATTTTTTATTCTAAGCATTTAACTGCTAGATGTTGAAATCTAAAAAAAAATTACTAGAAAAATCTGGTGCGGGCTCGAATCCCGCGTGAAACCTGGATCGAGCAGAATTTCTTCTAGTTAATTTTTATTTAAAAAAAAGTTTTTAATCTTAAACAAGAGCTTATTCACTACACAGAATTTTGTTCTTCTGTGGCTGTTTTGGTAAGTACACTTTGCTACAAACGTTTTAAAACGATACATATTGTTTGCATAGTATTGTCTAAATGCCGCTATGGAATAAGAGGCCAGTAGGTACTGTATGTAAAAATATAAGCGCCTGTACACCGTTTTCAGCAATATACTTCCTAACTATCAAATCTTACCGGCTATTATTTGAATTGCTTAATTACAATAGGTATGATGACTTTTTTTTTCTTAGTTTATCAGGTAGATTATCAAAAAGTATTGGACACTATTTTTTCTTTTTTCACATAATATAAACATTGCAGAGATATATTGATTTGAAAAGTCGCATGACGTCACGTTTGAGTACACTTCTAAGTAAAAAAAAAATTCACTAAAAAGTGACGTCACAAGCCACTACTCCCAAACTTTGACGCGCTATAACTTTGTCATTTTTTGGTTGATTGCCCAAAGAAAAAATACGTGTCCATTATTTTTTGATCGTCTAACTGACGGACTAAATAGAATTTCATCTACTGTACCCCGTCATCACCCCTATTTAGTTTGTTGAACCAAGATTTCATAAAAAAAATCTATGTTTATTCTGCATTCATTTTGAACATTCACTTAAATTATTGCGTGATGAATGTTGGAGACTCATTGCGGGTAGCCTGTTTATCAGTAAGTCTACTTTTGACTAAATCGCACAGCCTTATAGCTTTACTTCCGCGTAGCGTTTGAAAAACTTCACGTTACAAGATTAATAAAATTTGAATGGGTGCATCACGAGTTACTATAATTTTTTGTAATGATTGTTCTGGATGTCCGATTGGTCCACCTGGTGAGATTGTATCAGTCACTGCGGCTTCATCTGCTTCTGCTGCTCCAGCAGACGCTCCAGGGGCGAGGGCCCGGGGCCAGACCATAAAGACTGTACGATAAAACACAGACTCAACAAAATTTTCCTTCACCACCGAGGAAGGGGGGGGGGGGGCTACCGGGATTGCTGTTTTTAAATGCCTCGCGCTCCTATTTTTGCATTGATAATAATAATATTAAAGAAAATGAGCGTGAGGTATTTAAAAAACTGTCGGTCAGATATAACATAAGAAATCAAAAGCTATCAATACCGATAGGAGGTACGACCTCAGTACAGTATAGTTAAAACAATGAAAAAGTAATAAATAAATGAGGAAGTAGCAGAGGAGAATCATTTCCACTGTCAGCACCTTGATGGCACGAGTTATTAGTGCCTTCAGCTGAGATCGTGTTGAAGTTCAACTTTCGCAGTGGTCGGTCAATGGATGGGTGACCAAAAACTTTCTCTTTCCGATTTAAACATCGAGCACTTACATGCTTAAAAATTATAAAATTATGACCAAAAAGTTATTAGCTCGAGCTCCTCCGTGCTTTGTAAGCCACCTAAGCCGTTGGTCCCGGCGGCATCTGAAGTCTTTAGCACCCCCCAAACTGCACTGGGCCGACGTGGTGGGTCATGGCCCAATCTTCCTATTCCATCCATAAGAAAGGCATGTGCGTCAGCAGTGGAGACTTTATTAGGCTTATTTTTTTACTACACTTGAACCAAGATCTTGTGGCAATTTAATAACATAGACAGAGGGGTGCTGCTGGTGAAATAAGGGTAAAATAGGTACGTATAATCTTCCCACCTAGGGAATTTTATAATTTGCAAGAACTCAGAAATAGTAAAAGAAAATATGCAAGGCTTTGTAACACGATTCCTTTGCAAATAAAAAAGGATTATTTTTACTTCCTTTCTTGTTTTAATCTAAGGCCACGCACCATTAGATCTTGGGCGCACTGTAGAAAGAATTCCAAGCGGTCGGATAATAGTTCTAGATTCACCTGTTGTGGTAAATGCTGTCCGGGCGCAGGCGCGGCGCCGCTGAACAACGAGTACGTGTTGGTAGAAGGCTCGCCGCTCAACCCCTCTGCCACCTGCTAATAAATACATTATGTAGTATCCCTTATCTATTAGACAAGTCCGTCCATCCGTCCGTCTGTCTGTGGTGCTGTTTCAGCGGCCAAACCGTAAGAGATAGATAAAGAGAATGTTTAAGTTATAAGTTAAGAATAGTCTGATAAGACTACAAACCGGATTTGAGTAACGGAGCACTTCCGGTTTTCGAGAAATCACGAATTTCAAACGAAACCACACAAAATCTCCGAAGTTCTCAATTAATTAAATACATTTTTTTTAAATCAGGTTTTGGTGAACATTTGGTTCACTGGTTTGCTAGTTTATTATAATGTATTTATTTGTATTGTACCTATGTATTTACATACATAAGTATGTACGGGAATGTATACACCGTATACAATCCCACTGGAAACAACCATAATCCCAGACCTAGATCAAAATTCATTTCTTTCTTATTCTTAAGTTTTCACGCACAAAACTTATTAAATGAATCACGCTGAAACGAGTTCAAAGTGCGTCTTTTTAATACTTTATGAAGTGAAACTTCTTTACGCACGCTTGACTTGAGGGGTAAGCTGGCGAATGCGTTACGCGTTACGAAAGTGTGTTCGGGTGAGGCGAACGGGAGTCGAGTGGAGGATATAAGCAAGAGAAAGCAGTGCGCGCGCACATTTTCTTTCTCTTATTGCTAGTAAATGAAATATGTATATAGCGTACACACACAAACTTAAATATTGTATATACAGATGGAGCTAAAGAAGTTACACTTCAGTCGTATAGTCATAAGCACACTCGTTTTTTTTTATAAAAGTTTCCAAGTTAGCTCGTCAAAAGTAAATAAAAATAATTCCGACGACGCAGTCTTAAAGGGATGCGAAACGTTAAAAAGTAATGAAAAGACGCATTTTGAATCCGTTTAGGCGTGCTACAGTCGAAACTAGTTTTTGCAAATTCCATAAGTATCTTTTATTCGGAGGTCCAAGTACGAATTTTGACAGCTTCATAATCGTATCATCAACGTCAAATTTTGTATGGAGAAAGCTAAAGTTTTTATTACTCAGCTAGTTTGTTCTTACGCCCGATAGGCGGCGCTACTTAGTTTTCATATAAACTTTGACGATGATATGCGATTAAGGAGTTGTCAAAATTCGTACCTGGGCCTCTGTTTAGACTGTTACAAGGTCATGCACTTATGAATGTCAAAAAAATGTTACAAATGCAAATAGATTGGTTTTATAAAAGTCATGGCCAAGTGAAAATTTCGATTCAATAATTGAAATTAAAAACAATATATATATATAGAATAAGTAACTTGCTTTTTTGGGTAAAAACGATAAGAACGATTATTAAGAATTAATGACAACATACAAAATATGATACTGATTTAGGTCGCCATTTTAGATTTGTTACTAAATTGGTGCGGTTTAATCTGTTGAAAATATGGATTGAAGTTTAGGTTCTGTATGCTGAAACATCTGATTAAAATAGAAGTTGATGTCAAAAACTATTTCCTTTTTATTAAAAACACTTCCGGACTCACCTATCGGCTCACACACTCGCATTTCAAGTCTTGACGGTCCCTTGCTTAAAAATAAATGTTACATTGAGCAAACAGTTATTACCTACGCAGTTTTGATGCTGATTTATTAACCATCTTTTCGCGTGTTTTTAAAATTATTGCTCCACCATAAACATATATGCTACTGCCCCCCTAGCATGAGTAACAAAACGCGATATGATAAAGCGATTTATCGACACTGAACTGTCAAACTCCATTGTATTTTGACAGTTAATGTCGATAAATCGCTTTATCCTATCGCGTTTTGTTACTCATGCTAGGGGGGCAGACCGTTGAAACTTATAACACTAAGTGTTCCGATAGATGTGTCTGGCAGTATATAAAGTCTTACCGCATTCTGTTCCAAATTCTTCATCGCACCCATGTCTCGTCCTCCAAGGCCATCGTTGAATATCATGTTTCTCTGTGCGTCCATCACGTTAGAACCGAAGCTAAGGCCGCCCATGTCCATCATACTATTGGAGACAGGGTAGCCGGAAGCCGGGGGCTTCTGCATAGGCTGGTAGTTGAGCTTACTGCCGAACTGCGGATACATGGACGAATCATAACCCACAGGAGGCGCGTACGAACCGAAGTTGTTTAGCGACGAACTGAAATTGGGCGAGCTGACAATGTTCTGTAAAGACTGCAGTTGCGGTTGTCCAATCGCCGAGTAACCAGGCTGAGTCAACAACTCGGGCTTCTGAGGCCCCCCTAAGTTGGAATTCTGCATTGGATTGAAAGTAGGTAAGCTTTGGTACGGATTCTGCATGTTCGAAGTCAGATGAGGCGAATAGTAGTTCGGTTGCATATTGTTGGAAAAGTTGGAGTTGAAATTGGGGGGAGCGGTGGTGTTCGGTTTCCACCAGGGCGGCTGCTGGAACTCTTGGGGTTGCTGGGGCGCCCGCCAGTTGCTCGACTGGTTGAACAACGAGTTGTTCTTGAAGTTGTCGTCTCGGAACTTGTTGTCGGATATCTGGCTGTCCTGTGCCGCTTGCCAGTAGCGGTATTGGTTGGCGAACCGCGGCGGCAGATCGTTGAGGAAGTTCTTCTTGTCGCCGGACATTTGGTAGCCGTGCGCGCCGAACTTGTTGTTTTCTTGGAACATATCTGAACGGGACGTTTGCTTTTGTAGCGCCGCCGTTCTCACGTCTATCTCCTTGGGATTGACGACGGGCAGGCGGATGCTTTGACTGCTAGTGTTTGTGGGCGAAGAGTGGGCGGGGTTGTAGGCTATGCCCGAGTTCTGTATGCCGTAGTTCTTCTGGAAGTTCATTCTAGGGCCGTCGTTGAAAGTGTTCGGCTGTGGGTTTTGACTCCAGTTGGGCGAGGTGGGCTGGTCTTGTCGCTTCGGTTGGAAGCCTTGAGAGTTCTGATTGGTCCCTGGCTGATTGGCTTTTTGGTCCTTCTTCTCCTCCTTCTCAGGTTTCTTAGCCGGCTCAGGGTCGGTGTTGACCAGGTGCGGATAGCCCGCGGACTTGTCTTTGAGGGACAGGATGCCGCCAGTCTTTCTACCGAGCGGTAATGCGACGAGACCCTTGATAGCTTTGGGTTGTATCACTTTCGGTTTGTCTTGATCAGGTTTTTCTGTGGTGTCTGCTGTGGAGTCTGGCGTCGGTGGTGGCGTCACGAACTTGACCTGGTGATTGTATATTTTTAATAAGTACACTAAACTCAATTATAGAAGCGACTTTCTACGATTGGTTGTTAATCATTGCATGCACTGGAACTATAGTTATTAGTTCTATCGCATTTGAAAGAGATCCAGCAGTGAATATTGCCAAAACGTGAAATCACTAACTTCTTTAACCGTACATAATAATAGAAAGGTATTGCTCATTACTTAATAATATTACAAAGTAGATTGGGCTTTACGTTACTTTTTTTAAGACTACTGCTCTTATTATTTGCTGTCATTATCAAATAGTTTTCATCATTGTGGTCTAGAGTATAGTATTGTTTGTTATTATCATACCTGTTTGTTATATCTTCTACTATTACATAATAAAGTCCTACCAATATCCATGAGGAGCTCGATGGTGCAGGTGGTGAGCGCGTTCAGCCTAAGCCAAGGCGAAGTTCTTTCGCAATGGTCGGTCATTGGATGGGTGAACAAAAACTTATTATCTCGAGCTCCTCCGTGCTTTGGTAGGCACGTTAAGCCATTGGCCCCGGCTGCAACTGCAGTCATAAGCACCCACCAATCCGCAATAAACCGCGTGGTGGGTCATGGCCTAATTTCCCTATTCGATCCATAGGGAAGACCTGCGCCCCAACAGCGAGGACATTAATAGGCTGATGATGATGATGTACAAACAGTATCTATCAATATGACCTATAATATATAACTCACCTGTTTGTTGGTCTCCTCCTGCTTCCTCATGATGGCCGCCATGGCGATGTTGACGCGTGGCTTGCGCAGTTCCTTCTTGTCCTCGCCCTTACTGCAGCTGTCCTCAGCGATGTCAGCTTCCTACGCATTTAAACACGACTTGTGTAAAGGAAACAGATTACTATAAAATCTTAAATTATGTAAGTGTGGCAGGACAAAGAAAGCAGAGGTCGGAAATAGCGGACTCTTTCCTTACCCTTACTGCAGCTGTCTTCGGCGATGTCAGCTTTGAACGTATTTAAATATCACGTGAATGGAAGAAAGGATTAAATAATGATGTAATCTGATATATTATTTTGATAAGGTAGGATATACCAGTGAGGATATACCTCGTGGCCTTCCCAGGGACAGATGATAATGATGTAAGACTACAGTACCTGTCAGGCGGGCTCCGGGTCGTCTTGAGTGGAGGCCATGGCGCGTTCCTCGCGGGCCTCTCCAGGGACCGCTGATGATGATGTAAGACTACAGTACCTGGCAGGCGGGCTCCGGGTCGTCTTGAGTGGAGGCCATGGCGCGTTCCTCGCGGGCCTCTCCAGGGACCGCTGATGATGATGTAAGACTACAGTACCTGGCAGGCGGGCTCCGGGTCGTCTTGAGTGGAGGCCATGGCGCGTTCCTCGCGGGCCTCTCCAGGGACCGCTGATGATGATGTAAGACTACAGTACCTGTCAGGCGGGCTCCGGGTCGTCTTGAGTGGAGGCCATGGCGCGTTCCTCGCGGGCCTCTCCAGGGACCGCTGATGATGATGTAAGACTACAGTACCTGTCAGGCGGGCTCCGGGTCGTCTTGAGTGGAGGCCATGGCGCGTTCCTCGCGGGCCTCTCCAGGGACCGCTGATGATGATGTAAGACTACAGTACCTGGCAGGCGGGCTCCGGGTCGTCTTGAGTGGAGGCCATGGCGCGTTCCTCGCGGGCCTCTCCAGGGACCGCTGATGATGATGTAAGACTACAGTACCTGTCAGGCGGGCTCCGGGTCGTCTTGAGTGGAGGCCATGGCGCGTTCCTCGCGGGCCTCTCCAGGGACCGCTGATGATGATGTAAGACTACAGTACCTGGCAGGCGGGCTCCGGGTCGTCTTGAGTAGAGGCCATGGCGCGTTCCTCGCGGGGTTCTCCAGGGACCGCTGATGATGATATAAGACTACAGTACCTGGCAGGCGGGCTCCGGGTCGTCTTGAGTAGAGGCCATGGCGCGTTCCTCGCGGGGTTCTCCAGGGACCGCTGATGATGATGTAAGACTACAGTACCTGGCAGGCGGGCTCCGGGTCGTCTTGAGTAGAGGCCATGGCGCGTTCCTCGCGGGGTTCTCCAGGGACCGCTGATGATGATATAAGACTACAGTACCTGGCAGGCGGGCTCCGGGTCGTCTTGAGTAGAGGCCATGGCGCGTTCCTCGCGGGGTTCTCCAGGGACCGCTGATGATGATGTAAGACTACAGTACCTGGCAGGCGGGCTCCGGGTCGTCTTGAGTAGAGGCCATGGCGCGTTCCTCGCGGGGTTCTCCAGGGACCGCTGATGATGATATAAGACTACAGTACCTGGCAGGCGGGCTCCGGGTCGTCTTGAGTAGAGGCCATGGCGCGTTCCTCGCGGGGTTCTCCAGGGACCGCTGATGATGATGTAAGACTACAGTACCTGGCAGGCGGGCTCCGGGTCGTCTTGAGTAGAGGCCATGGCGCGTTCCTCGCGGGGTTCTCCAGGGACCGCTGATGATGATATAAGACTACAGTACCTGGCAGGCGGGCTCCGGGTCGTCTTGAGTAGAGGCCATGGCGCGTTCCTCGCGGGGTTCTCCAGGGACCGCTGATGATGATGTAAGACTACAGTACCTGGCAGGCGGGCTCCGGGTCGTCTTGAGTAGAGGCCATGGCGCGTTCCTCGCGGGGTTCTCCAGGGACCGCTGATGATGATATAAGACTACAGTACCTGGCAGGCGGGCTCCGGGTCGTCTTGAGTGGAGGCCATGGCGCGTTCCTCGCGGGCCCTCTCCAGGGACCCTTGTGGTTTGAGTATGCCCACACGTTTCTCACGCACTGAAATTATTAATACCATGTATATGACAAACTGATAGGAGTAATATTTCCAATTAATTTTAATATACTTAATTACAAACGTAACCGAAATTAGATGTAAAAAGTAAACAATATGTATGTACAATTCCTTATTAGTATTCTGCTAAGTAAATATTTAGGTGTGTACTAGGTTCAGCAGCGGGTTGGTTCTTGTCGGCACTTGGGAAAAAATACCTTTTGATGAGAACCTTTGGTTTTTGTTTAATAGTCGCGGCCCGGATTTCAGTCATTCGACGAGCCGTAGTTTGCCCATCCCTTGTAGCTTAAGTAAAAGAAAGACAGCGACGCAGGCGTGGGCGAGTGCAGAGGGGACGAATGTGCTTCCAGTTGAGCGATGACAGCCTCCAGTATGGCCCTCCTCGCCCGGCGACGAGAACGACGATACAGAAACGACTGCGATGCGGGCGAGTTCGGATTGGTCGAGGGTGACTGCGGGGGGTGGGGCGATGTAGAGGGGGAGGAGCGGGGCGATGTAGAGGGGGAGGAGCGGGGCGAAGGCGGAGGGGACGAATACGCCTTCAGTTAGGCAATAGCGGCCGCTAGCACGCCTTCCCCGCACGACGATGAAATCGTTATTACGCCGTCCCCTTCTCTATAATTGAGAGGGGCGACGGCGGCAAGGACAAATAAACCTGCAGCTGGGCGGCAAGAACGACAATACGTCGTCCATTTTTCTAATATTTAAACAAAAACCTATAATTTCATACTAGCACACCATGTATAACTTACCTTTCTCCCTAAAGTCGGCCTCCGAGATAACCACAGGCGGCAGCGGAAGCGCCGGCGACTGCGGATCGGTCGAGGGTGACTGTGGGGGGCGGGGCGATGTGGAGGGGGAGGGGCGGGGCGAAGGTGGAGGGGACGAATACGCCTTCAGTTGAGCGATAGCTTCCGCTATCACGCCCTCCCCGCCCGGCGACGAGAACGACGATACGCCGTCTTCTTCCCTATAATAAAATATGATTGTGGAAATATTAAAAACACCATAACTGAAATTATTGTACTTAACGATTCTTTTCATAAACTGATTATTTATTACGTATTAAACATAGAATCAGTCCCCGTAGCAAGAACACCACAAATTATATTATATCACGTTTTTTATTTATTTATTTTTATTTTATTTTATTTATTTGGACAACCAACAAGAACATACACCTTACATGCTAATAATACATTTCTTTTTTCTTAAGTAATTTGGTGTTGCCTTAATAACAGGCTGTCACGGAAAGCAAAAAAAATGTCTAATCTAATTAGGAGCATAAGGCATCCTTTACAAAAATATACTGATTTTATAAATTAACAAAAAGCAAACAGAAGTCCATAACATTTCATTTTTAAGATAAAAAACCAAACAAAAACGATAGATAGATGAGTTATTAAGTGTTAATCTGTATTATTTTTTTTTTAAATGTAGGGAGACTCAGACTAAATAAATCGATTACCTTATTTTTGCTTATTGAATTGTATTGCGCTTGAAGCCTGTTTATAGGAGAGTAAAGACCTAAATTAGTCTTGCAATATTTTGGTGTAAACAAGGAGTATCTTGACAGACGTGGTAGTTTGCGAGTGATCGAGAAGTTAAGTTTATGTATCAGTTGGGGGCAATTTATGTTACCATTTGCAACCCTATGGAGAAAAGATAAGCTTATCATATTGCGCCGATTTTTCAGCGATGAAAATTTAAAATGCCTTAAACGTTCGTTATATCCGTGCAGCTTTTTTGCGAGGTTAAATTTATAGGACAAATGATACAAGAACCTTTTTTGCACACGTTCTATTTTATTGGAGTGTACATCATAATAAGGGTTCCAAGCTGCACTGCAGTATTCGAGAGTAGATCTAACCAGGCTTTCATACAATCTTATAATGGTTGATTGGTTTTTAAAGTTTTTAGTATTTCTTATTACGAATCCCAGACATTTAAGTGATCTAGAAACTATATAATCGTAATGTTCTCTTAAGCTCATTTTTTTATCTAGGATTATACCAAGATCACGAACATTCTCGACTTCACGGATAGGTTGGTTAGATATTGTGTAAGATCCTATAGATATTTATCTCGTCTAAATGTCAAACTCCATAGTACTTTGACAATTGAGCGTAATAAAAACGCGTTATATATCATATCGCGGTGCTCATGCTAGGGGGGCAGAGCATTATATATGAGATAAAGCAATAAAGAAATGTGATTCAAATACACGATTAAGTGAAATCTAGCCATTTACTAGACATCATGAGCAGGACATTAGGCGTGTTGCAGCATGTCGGGGCGGCCCAGCGCTAGAGTTTGCGCCAGTTTGACGAGCCTCAACACTCGCACGCGGTGCTGCAGCTCCGGATCCCACGCGCGCGGCTACTGAGCAGGATATTAGACTCACGCGTGTTGCAGCATGTCGGGGCGGGCCAGCGCTAGTGTTTGCGCCAGTTTGACGAGCCTCAACACTCGCACGCGGTGCTGCAGCTCCGGATCCCACGCGCGCGGCTACTGAGCAGGATATTAGACTCACGCGTGTTGCAGCATGTCGGGGCGGGCCAGCGCTAGAGTTTGCGCCAGTTTGACGAGCCTCAACACTCGCACGCGGTGCTGCAGCTCCGGATCCCACGCGCGCGGCTACTGAGCAGGATATTAGACTCACGCGTGTTGCAGCATGTCGGGGCGGGCCAGCGCTAGAGTTTGCGCCAGTTTGACGAGCCTCAACACTCGCACGCGGTGCTGCAGCTCCGGATCCCACGCGCGCGGCTACTGAGCAGGATATTAGACTCACGCGTGTTGCAGCATGTCGGGGCGGGCCAGCGCTAGTGTTTGTGCCAGTTTGACGAGCCTCAACACTCGCACGCGGTGCTGCAGCTCCGGATCCCACGCGCAAGGCCACGCCTCGGACGGCGGACTGGGGAGATTTAAATATCTAGCAGTTAAATGCTTAAAAAAACGAATGTGCTAAGACCACACAGCTGAAGAGAAACTTCTTTAGCTCCATCTGTTTGTATTTATATATAAATATATATATATATGTGAGTAGAATATGTACATGTATGTACATATGCATATCCTTTACTAGCTACAAGAGAAAGAGAGAAAGAAAATGTGAGCGCGCACTGCTTTCTCTTGCTTATATCTCCTCACTCAACTCCCATTCGCCTCACCCGAACACACTTTCCGTAACGCGTAACGCATTCGCCAGCGCACTCCCCAAGTCAAGCGTGCATAAAGAAGTTTCACTTCAAAACTTACGTTACCCAACAAATCCATTTGAAATTACTGCACATACTTTATGAATTAATTTTACGGAGCTCTAGGGCAAAAGAGCAAACGGTAGGACCTCTACTAGATGGACCTACCAAATATGAAAGTGTCTTAGCACCACCATCACAGACGCTCTTGACCACGCTAATGATAGGGAAAACCGGAAGCAGCTTTGGGAAAGAAATATGAGTCGGAAACATCAAGACGTTGCAGCAGCATTGAGCTACGACTGGAAGAGCCTAATAATGTAAATATGGAAATTGGGTCATGCATGAGCCACCAAATAGGCCCAGAGCGGATTTATGGGTGCTAATGACTGCAGATGCAGCCGGGACCAACGGCTTAATGTCTCGATTTGTTGCGATTGGATACCTGCGCCTCTAGCGGGATAAATTGGCAGTTATTAAGGCAGGTAGGCAAATGTCTCTACCCCACCTGATGTTTAGTGGTGATAAGAGTCCAAACGCGAAGATAGCTGGTACAGCAGTTATAAACTGCTACACCAACCATCCTCACCTTGCCGGCCTGCAAATATGTTTCTTCACGCCACTCTTAAAGGACCTCAGATTGTAGGAATGAGGGAACACGTGCGCGGACAAAGAATTCCACTTACGAATATGTTTTCTCCCCATGATCTTAACTGTTAAATAGAAATACAGTAGAAGTCGATTAACCGAATCGCCAAAGATCCGAATCGGTCCTAAGCGTAATATAAAAAAATAAAACCAAGTTTTTTTGTTTTTTTTTTGTTGTAACAAGTTGGAACTCGCTGGAGACCAGATATATTTCAACTGTTATGGTTGAAAGCGAGAGGCGAGACACTACATGTTTTACGTCGCGCGGTTTTTTTTGCTACTATGTACTCTATCTATCTCTGTAATTGTATTTAGTATTGTAGAACTGCGTTTGTTAAACTTAATAAAGTTTATTCTATGTGTGACAATTCGTTTTTCTTTATTACCAGACTGTACGAGTCACGTACAGTAATCTTGTATATCTTTAAAGCAAGCATAACCTACTTTAATCACTAAGCTGTATCTAAGAAATGCATCATAATACGACATTGTATTAACTATATAAAAACACATATTTTACATAATAAATAAATGCTGATCATGCATTCAACAGTATCAGTTGTCTTACTTCCTTAACCTAATATCATTATGTAGGGGGTCAGCCCTACAGTTTGGTCCTTCGAGCCGGATATGAACCAGCGACCTATGGATGAAAATATATTTTGATAGGTACCTTAGTGTTGACAATATCCATGGCCAGGTTACACAGGAACAATCACTGTCGCGAATTGATCCCGCTTTTCCAAGCTCGGAGGACCGTATATGAAGAGTGGTTCAAGATTTTGATAGCTCGAAGGACCAAACTGTAGGGGTGACCCCCTACATAATGATATTAGGTTAAGGAAGAAAGACAACTGATACTGTTGAATGTATGATGAGCATTTATTTATTATGTAAAAATATGTGTTTTTATATAGTCAATACAATGACGTATTATGACGCATTTCTTAGATACAGCTGAGTGATTAAAGTAGGTTATGCTTGCTCTGCAGATATACAAGATTACTGTACGTGACTCGTACACAGTCTATGTCCGATTATCCGAATCGACCCCGGTCCCAATTAATTCGGATAATCGGCGTTCTACTGTGCGTAAAAAGCGTAATCTCACTGTTGTTCCTTTGGCGGCGACGGCAGCCGGCCGCCGTAAGTGTCCCAGGCGGCGTGGTTGCAGAACTGCAGCTGCTCCAGTGACTTCTCTATGGGCAGGAACCCATGCAACTCCTCATCTTCGGGCAACGGCGCTGTGTCCACTAACAAATTATACAGCATATAACTTTAAGGGAAGCTTAATTATCTAAATAGTGTTTTGTATTGTTCTTACTTCTTGATATTATTTAAAATATATTAATAAAAGTAACTTTATAATTTGGGATGTTGTCTCATGTTTTGCAATGGACTGTGTAGGTATAGAAAAAGATTCAACTTCTATACAACAAATTTTTTTTTTTTCAATGTGATTAGTATAATATGTATACAAGTAAAGGACAATGGGCAAAACACACCCAGCATCGCCATCAATGTAATTAGTATGACTCGATAGATCTATGAAAAACTAGCCGTTTCTATTATGACACCGTAAAAAAATATCCTGGTAGTCAAAAGATATGACACATGGACATAGGGCGTGAGTGCAGCGTCCATACATTTTTGCCCATTGTCCTTTACATAAATTTATGTTTTAATCATGAATGGAATTATTGCGGACATACATATAGACAAACAGACATAAATTCTAAGAACTACATTTTAGCTTCGGTATCGATTGTAGATCATACCCCAAGTATTCTTTTAAAAAAATATTCAATGTACAGTTTTGACTTTCCTACCATTTTATTATATGTATAGATATACCTGCGATCGGCTGGATTGCGTCCTGTGCGTTAAGGGCGTTGACGCATCTGGCGAGTGCGGGCCACACGCCGGCCGCGTTCCACCCGCGCGCCGCTCGCGGGCAACTCACGCCCCACTGCAGCCAAACCTTCACTGGACCACAAACAATTCTCGTACAAAGTAATAAAATATTTCTAGTCTTCCGTACAAGGTACGAGAAACAAATAGGTTAGTACTCATATGTACATGATTTTGTCAAATAAATTCATAACATGAGTTTTCATCGGAGGCAACATGTTGGAGCATAAACCGTAAGTATCCAAACCAGTCTCTGTTTATTGTAATTTTTATTTTAAGCTAGAGGTTTGAATAATTGTATGGTTGGCAACACTGATAATATTGTCAGAAACGCTCTCGAAACGGAACCGCGAAAGTGCTAGAGATCGAATGTGCCAGAGCACCGCGGGTCGCGATAGAGATCGAGTGATGCGGCTCATTCTAAAATGAGCCTTATGCAGTGCGGCGTAAGGGAGAAAGTGCAACGACATCTGCACTTGTTTACAAGTTATGCGCGTTACCTACGTACTCGCAGGTGCTAGCTAATTCTCAATTTAACAGGTACTTTCTAGAACGCGTCGATCGGCGTATATAAGCGCCATTGGCGCCGCGCAGAGACAGTTGAGTTTCAACAGCGATTTCGGAGCGAATCCAAAGGCAATCAAAGTGCAAAAAAAGTGTTCAAGTGCAATTGTTTACAGACTTGTAGAGTGAAATACAGTGTTTAGTGAGTGTTTTGTAATTAACATTGTGTATTAATTGTGTAAACTGTGTGGTGAATAACGAACTGTCAAGCGTGAACTGGCATATAATTTCGAACCCCATCCCGACACGTAACAATATTAAGCCTGCGTCGTGTTCTCGTTTTTGCTAACACGATAACATTGTTTGCTAACCGATTTGGGGCGTGGCCTAACAGTTTCGCTAACGGCGATTGGATAAAACTTGTTTTAATAACATGTTTCTTAGAAAGTAAGCGCAGGAGATCAGGCTTTAAACTTAAGCAGACTGGCAAAATTTTGTCAAACTAATGAGTTAATAACTCTAAAATCTCCTCGTCAATTATAAAATGAATACATACTTGAAAAAACATGCTTAAGGAAATTAGATTTTATTTAGATAACATACTGCTATGTGTACCGAGTCAAGATTGCTATTGCAAGATTGATTTTGCTCTTTTTAAATCTTCGGTTGATCTGAAGATAAACTTTAAGGTTTTCATGGCTTCTGATGCAATATGTTTATCAATATGCTTGTTTAGGTACAGCTAATTGTATACTGACGTGCGGGCAGAGCTCTTCTAGGCGGAGTGGGCAGCGAGAAGGCGGGTAGAAGCAACGCTAACACGGTAGACGCGGCCAAACACTCGCTGAGCTGCGCCGCTCTAACCTCGCCCTCGCTGTGGGAGCAGCTGTCTATCTTGAAGTCTTCGGTGGCAGACTGCACTAGCCATATCAGCACGCATGTCATCTGCACGCGTGTAAAAATGGACGATACTGACTATGTATTCTATTTTTTTGAGGAGCTCGATGGCGCAAGTGGTTAGCGCGTTCGGCTGCGGTCGTTGAAGTTAAGCCACGTTCGCAGTGGTCGGTCATTAGATTGGTGACCAAAAATTTACTATCTCGAGCTCCTCCGTGCTTCGGAAGGCATGTTAAGCTGTTAGTCCCGCCTGCATCTGCAGTCGTTTCAGTTCGCACCCACCAATCCGAACTGGGCCCGCGTGGTTGGTCATGGCCCAAACTCCCTATTCCATCCATAGAGAAGGCCTGTGCCCCAGCAGTGGGGACATTAATAGGCTGATGATGATGAATGATTATGTTATTGAGAGACCCCCGACCATCCGATTATCCAGTAGACACGGGGCTGTGAGTACGCCAGTACACACGGGATTGCCAACGTACAAAGATATTTCATGACCACTAAATCTTGGTGTTGCTATTTCAAATGTGTTAGTGTTTGTTTAATACGAATATATTAGTGTAATAATTTAGTCATACATTTTGAATTTGTATTATTTTGCTACATTTATTGCAATTTAATATAAGTAAAGGTATAAAGTAAATTTACACAATTTTTCATTTGAAACCTTTTCTGAATCTGAGGAAGATTCAAATGACGTTTCTCCTGATAACTGAATTATGAAAGGCTCTCATCGGAATTTTGATCGGCTATCCGATCTTTTTCAAGGTACTAGTTTTCGTATGTTGCATGTATGTGAAACCGTAAAATGTTCTCATGTGTAGCGGACACAAAGCAATAACGAGAACTCTAATTGTGAACGTCTATCGCTGTCGGCAGCCAACAGGCTACTGATTGATTGGTTGAGCGCATCCCTCTACCGCGTCCCGCGGACCATCAGGAGGGTCGACTTTACGGCTGTCAAGCTATAAGTGTTTTTCGGTGAAAACATTCAAATTAACGTAACATTAATGATGATTACGCCAGGTTATTGAAATGCATAATGGAGGAATACGTTATTACCGTGGATTTTATGAAAGTCATAAACTAGTCGATATTAATTGACTTTATATGGAGATTATTTTGACGTGACAACGTCTTAAATTAGGTTGCGGCTGGGAGTCACTTATGAAAAAGTGTAACGCTCGGTAACGTTACGATGAGTCTCTCGTGTTAAGTTTAAGTTTACATGTACAATGTTTTAGTAAACAAAATATATTTCTATAGTTAAAATTTGTGCAATTCTTATTTTCATTCAATTCCTTGTTCCTATTGTGCAATTTAATTATATTCATATCAATAAATATTCTACCGAGAAAAAGACGTTGTCACGTAAAATCTTCGCCCGTAAAACCGACTTTACAGGCAACCATTTTTTTTTAACCAGTTTTGTGACCCAAATATAGAAAAAAGAATACATCTGTACGAAAAACTTACCTGAATCAGAGTCATGGATTCGAAGCTGTCTGAGGCGACGAGCGCTGGCAGGGACGAACTGAGTGATTTTACTACCTCCTCGGCGGTGTCCAGTCTACGAGGCAATTTTAATAAATTTTATTAGTCTTAAGCAATAGTTTATATGACAGTATAAAAAATAAAGTACCACTTGTTAGGGGTCCGCGTATGATTATTAGCAGCGATTTTACAATTTAGATAGAATAAATAATTTATAACTTTTCTAAATAAATATTAAATCCTAGGATTCACTATATGAATGCTGGGTGAAATCAGTGGGGAGGAGTCCCGGATAACTCCGCTACGCTTCTCCCGGTGGGCGGAGAAAGCGTAAAGCATTTTCCAGATTTAAAAAAAAGGGATTCACTATATGACTCTAATCCCAATAGAGTTCATATCTTTACACCATCCAATTTTTTATTAACAATATCACTTAAAAATAATAACAAATAGGTATTACAAGTCATAGACTTGTTCTCTTGCAGCAAGAACTTTCACTCCAACCAAAGGTCTATCGGCTATAAACTGTTGAATCTTATTTCCAATAAACGTTAGTGGTATTGTAAAGATGAGGAGAAAATACATTTGTCCGGAGCGCGCGCGTAAGAAGGAGTGCGGCCGAGCAATCTCAAAACGATAATACCGGACCAAAATTAGTGAATGAATTTTAGCTTACCCTCATAATACAGGGTGAAATTGAATGTTTCTATGAAACTTCGTGAGATTGTTGGGTTACATGTATAGAGTACTTATGCCTGATTTTTTTCGGATTTTTTAAAATGAAATTTTTCGTTTTTTAATTTTTTATTTGGTTATTTTTTTTGTCATTTCTTCCTTATGAATAATTATTCATTTTAAACACGTCTACATAGAAGTTATAAAGCAACTTAAAATAAGCACTACTAAAAAACGGAAACTTAACGAATGCCTTCATTATGCCTCCAGTCGAGATCAGCGCCGGTCGGGGCGACGACCGGTGGTCGCCTGTATAGGTACCTACTACACGCGCAGATGACTCGGCGCTTACCTACTCGCCGCTTTGATCCACACTATTCAAAAACATTACAATAAAATAGTCTTAGATGCTATATTATAATTATTTATTCACTGATACACAATACCTTTGATTATTATTTCATAAAGCACAGGTAATTAATCAATAAAATAAATCTTCTGTTAGAGCAATTAAAAATCCTTTAAAGTTAATATGACTGTCACGATTTTAAATCGGTAAAGCCTGTCTGTTAGTGTAAGAACTTCTTTTTTATTGTTAATGTTAGTTGCCTCGTTTAATAAAAACTTAAGCACAAACGGCTTAAAATTGGGAAAAATCATACAGATCAAATCGGTATAACTTACGAGCTTAGTGAAGGAAGGAACTCTTCGTATCTGATTTGCCCACGTCATGAAATTCCCAACACATGTAATCACAGCCACAGTCTCACACACACACACACACACACACACACATAATAATATGTTGTTTTGCGGCAAGCACGGGCGGGCGGCGCGCCGCACGCTGGCAACTAGCGCCGGTTGCGGCGTCTTTGATGATGTGAATTCCGCCCACCTCCCCTCTTCCCCGCACGCGGTGGTTTGCTTTGATTGCATGCAAAACGCAGTCGCAAGTATATCAATCGCACGTGGGCGTGCGCATCTTTTGACTTAGTGACATACACTGTGATAATTTCATATTGCCTCGGTATACGAACCAAGAATATTTAGAGATAGTGTACTGCTATCGCGAGTGTGACGAAGTAGGTTTGGTTTACGAATGAGTCCCCAAACCATAGAAATTGCATTTTGTGCAGTGAGCAGTGATAGGGACACTTTAAAAAAGGTGAAAAGACACGTCCGCAAACATGCCTACCTTTGTTTGCAGCAAAATGGTGGTTTAGAGCAACAATTTTGCAGATAATAATTTAAGTCTCTTTTTATTGCTAGTGTAAATACTTTTTGATTAGAAACAACTAATTGTGTACTACCAGTGTGATTGATTTGATAAAAAGTTCTAGTGAAAAAAATGAATATGTTCCTCGTTCCTCGTTGTACCTACCTACATCGCCAGTCTCGTAAGTACTTTTGAATACCTGGTTATAAATTTCATTCTGACCCAAGTATTGAACTGCAATAAGTATTTCTTTTTGTTTAACATTTGCATATTTCCAATCGTGACAAAATTATTATTAACTTTTAAAGTTTTTCTCTGCTTAAGAGAAGATGACATTTGTGCTTATTATTTCAATTTCAATAAAGGCATCTAAGACGATTTTATTGTATTGTGTGGAATCAAACGAGTCAGCTGAGCTCTGTGTAGAGCTAGGTACCTATTCACTCAACGGCTGGCGGGCGCGGTCGGTCGTTGACCCGCGGTGGAATTTTAATGTTTTTCCGTTTTTTAGAAGTGCTTATTTATTAGTTGTTTTTCACTGGATATGTAAGTTTGTTTGTTTAAAATGAATAACTACTCAAAAGGAGGAAAGGTCATAAAAATACACAAATTATAAATAAATACATGAATAAAATATACTTCAAAAAAATCCGAAAAAAAAACAGGCATACTCTATACACATAACCCAACAATCTCACGAAGTTTCATAGAAACATTCAATTTCACCCTATATTAGGCAAGAACAGTACCCTTAGTATGAGTTTGAGCTCACGAAAACTATCATAGTTTTCGTTATTGTAAATTATGTTTCTATGTCAATTTTGGTGAAAAGTAACCAAATATACTTAAAATTTAAGTAGAAGATAATGATTTAATGATAAAATTTAAACACTGTTTATTTGTATTGTAACGAAAATAATAAAATCAGTACCCTTGTACAAGTGCGAGCTCACGAAAACTATCATAGTTTTGTAAATTATGTTTCTATGTCAATTTTGGTGAAAAGTAACCAAATATACTTAAAATTTAAGTAGACGATAATGATTTAATGATAAAATTTAAACACTGTTTATTTGTATTGTAACGAAAATAATAAAATCAGTACCCTTGTACAAGTGCGAGCTCACGAAAACTATCATAGTTTTCGTAATAGGGTGTTTGACAAGTTTTAAAGAATGATCTCACGTGATTGACTAATGTTTATGGAGTCCGTAAAAGTGGATTTCATCATTCTGCTGTGTATTTCAGTAAAAATAACCAAATCCAAAACTCCATTTTCAAGGTGCCGCGAAAACGTTTCTCTGGACAATATGGCGCCTTACTGATGTGTGACGTCACACGACTGTTATTAAAACGACAAACCATACAATGTAATATCACTTTAACCGGAAGTTTACTTGCGGGTGACTTCATTTTAGGCTCCGCCAATCCCAAGCGTTTTGGGTCACGTGACAATAGATAAGAAAACTATTATCATTTTCGTCGGGTTTTTAGTAAAATTATGAATATTTTTCTTTTGTAAAAATAGTAAAAACCCCTGCCAATATTCATTCTAAACACAGATGCTAACATATGGCACTTTATTTTTATTACTGTCAATTACCCTATTGTAAAATTTGTAGTAAGGGTACTGTAACGTCCGTTACGTTACAGCCTCCTTGTTTAGGTAAAGTCTTTGCTCTTGCAATGCCTACGGTTGGCAGTTATATTAAAAAGTTAATGTCATGATTTTAAGATTTGAAATAAGGAATCATCTGTCTTTTGATAGAGGGTTCCATACAACAGACGATCTTCAGGCACCAACCCTTTCGTAGCTTAGATAAAGAACTTATATTCGCCTGAATCAAATAAATAAAATATAAAATATCTTATCTCTACCAGTATCTTTTAATTAGTAGTTACGTCCCTGGGTTCTATCCACTCTGGCTAGAACTCCTCAGTACTGAACAAGTACTAAGTGTCCGCAAAGCAACATGTTGTGTACTCACTGCTCGACGCTGTGTATCATATGCATGGCGCGTATCAGTTCATTGACGTACGCGTGCGAGTCGAGGCGGGCGCTGGCAACGGACGTTTTATCGGTACATTCTGTTGGAGTCACGCCGGGAAGCACCGGGAGAGCGCTCTCCTGGTGTAGACCACCACTGGGAATCAAATATATACATTAAATATTCTTGATCCGTGTAACACATAAAAAGTTTAATTATAATAATTGTACTGGTAACGACACGGTTTTATGTATATCTCGCTACTTCATAAAAAGCTGAGAAGTTTCTTTCGTCTGTTCATCTTGTCAGCTAAAAGATGTCCTGTACAGGTGGTAGGAAAAAAAAATTGATTGCCTGTAAAGTCGGTTTACGGACGATAGTTTTACGTGATAACTTCCAAAAGAAACATTGATGAAAAATTGCATAATTGCTAGCTCTGACGTCACACGAGAAGAGAGATAAATGTGTACAAGCCGACCCTTGGCCCGATCTTGCCTCTTTCTCGCTTGTTCCGTGCTCTCGCTTGCACGCTCTGGCTTATTAGGCGGAACGTGACACTTTGTCGTGCGTGCACCCGGTGTTCATTTATTTATACGTTATCACGTAAAAAAACAACGCGCGCACGTGCCAGTAGAGCGCCGCCTGTGGGCCACATACCTGGCGGCGGCGTGCAGCGTGCACGCCAGTTTGGCAGGCGCGAGCGGGAAGGCTGCGTGCACTTGCCAGTAGAGCGTCGCTAGTGGGTCAGTGGGCCCCATACCTGCCGGCGGCGTGCAGCGTGTACGCCCGGTTGGCAGACACGAGCGAGAAAAGGCGCGCACACTTGCCAGGAGAGCGCCGTCAGTGGGTCACATACCTGGCGGCGGCGTGCAGCGTGTACGCTAGGTTAGCAGGCGCGTGCGGGAAGGGCGCGCACACTTGCCAGTATAGCGCCGTCAGTGGGTCAGTGGGCCACATACCCAGCGGCGGCGTGCAGCGTGCGCGCCAGGTTGGCAGGCGCGAGCGGGAAGGGCGTGCAGACTTGGCAGTAGAATGCCACCAGTGGGTCAGTGGGCCACATACCTGGCGGCGGCTGCAGCGTGCGCGCCAGGTTGGCAGGCGCGAGCGGGAAGGGCGCGCACACTTGGCAGTAGGGCGCCACCAGTGGGTCAGTGGGCCACATACCTGGCGGCGGCGTGCAGCGTGTACGTCAGGTTAGCAGGCGCGAGCGGGAAGGGCGCGCACACTTGCCAGTAGAGCGCCGTCAGTGGGTCAGTGGGCCACATACCCGGCGGCAGCGTGCAGCGTGCGCGCCAAATTGGCAGGCGCGAGCGGGAAGGGCGCGCACACTTGGCAGTAGAGCGCCACCAGTGGGTCAGTGGGCCACATACCTGGCGGCGGCGTGCAGCGTGCGCGCCAAGTTGGCGGGCGCGGGCGGGAAGGGCGCGCGCACGAGTAGCGAGCGCACGTGCCAGTAGAGCGCTGCCAGCCGTCGTCCGCGTCGCCACGCCACTAGCGCCAGCTGGTTGTAAGGCTGTCCCGAGTGCGCAGACACCACCAGCGCATGTCTAAGAATTACAATATATAAAATAAAAAATATTTATTAAGACTTCCGACACTTTAGATCCCTTTTTTGAAATAGTTACGATGGGTCGCAAACATCGCTAAAATCGTTTTTAGAAATAGACCACTGTACGGTCTAATCACCGAACATACTGATAGACCGGGAGATGATGACACAAAATACTTGGTCATTTGTACCAGTATGGCGGTTCTTCAGGGGTCTAATTACGTAAAGGCAAAAAGGAAAATGATGGTCATAGCGCTCGCACCGGCGGCCCAATCGCGTGGGCGTTAATCGAACGCGTCGGATAAATAACGAGTGTCGAACGATTTGTTCCACAAAAATGCTTATATTTTCAGATAGTCGAAAAAAAGAAGTAGGCGGTAGCGTAATGCCATACTTCTCGGGTGTGACTTACAGCCCGCCATACCGACGCGAATACATTAATTTAAATAAAACAATTCAACCATTTGTACCAGGCTAATTTTTGCACAGCTAATCATCGTCGAGTAGCCATTCACGAAAATCACCTTGCCATACTTTTCCGACAGTTCCCAATGGCCGCCATACCGCTGCAAAGGAGTAAAATTTTTTTTTTTCGCCAAACGATTTGTACTACCCTGAAACTTTTTTAACAGTTCCCCGTATGATCATACATAGAAGTCTGATAATGCCATACCTGTGGGAGGTGGCGAATGTGAACAATATTTTTTCAAAGTCCCAAGATTTTATTCGTAATTCGAACGATTTGTACCAGTATGGCGCCACTTTTTCCCTCTACTACAAGTATGGCAAATATAATAATGGTCACATTGTAACGTATAATTTCCAAAAATCCAAATGCCATACTGGTACAAATCGTCAATTTTTTTTTTCTTTTTCACCTTTTAGCTCAAGTCCGACAGTCATCCGCCCCATGTTTACAATCTGTAATAATTTTTTTTACGTACAATTGCATCCAAATGATGAGAATACAATGATGTCATGATGTAAAAAATGATTTTACGTATTTTGCAGTCGTATTTTTAAAACGTGTCAAATAAATAAGTATTTCAAGTATGGCCCCTACTAGAAGTATGGGAAAAATAATAACGGTCACATTTTGCCAAATACTTTCCAAAAATTCAAATGCAATACTGGTACAAATCGTTTGACGAAAAAAAAAATTACTCCTTTGCAGCGGTATGGCGGCCATTGGGAACTGTCGGAAAAATATGGCAAGGTGATTTTCGTGAATGGCTACTCGACGATGATTAGCTGTGCAAAAATTAGCCTGGTACAAATGGTTGAATTGTTTTATTGAAATTAATGTATTCGCGTCGGTATGGCGGGCTGTAAGTCACACCCGAGAAGTATGGCATTACGCTACCGCCTACTTCTTTTTTTCGACTATCTGAAAATATAAGCATTTTTGTGGAACAAATCGTTCGACACTCGTTATTTATCCGACGCGTTCGATTAACGCCCACGCGATTGGGCCGCCGGTGCGAGCGCTATGACCATCATTTTCCTTTTTGCCTTTACGTAATTAGACCCCTGAAGAACCGCCATACTGGTACAAATGACCAAGTATTTTGTGTCATCATCTCCCGGTCTATGAGCTGGCATAGCGACCTACTTTGGGTCGCGCGTCATAATTTATTTATTTATTTTTTGGAAGACCAACAGCTATTAACAAAAATAATAAAAACTTAAATAATAACAAAAAGCCAATTACAGGTCTTCACCAATAAAAACACATTACAACATAATTAAGCTGGTTGTAAGGCTGCCCCGAGTGCGCAGACACCACTAGCGCATGTCTAAGAATTACAGTATATAAATAAAAAAATATGTGAATAACACTTCCGACACATTTATTTTGTTGAAACATAGCTTTAGATCCCTTTTTATAATAGTTACGATGGGTCGCAAACATAAGATTATATTATTTTTATTAATAATTGTTAATTCTATTGACATTATATTCTAATTACACGAGTACGTTAAGAGCGCGCTTTCGAAACAGTCAAGCAAAGAATCACCTATTAACTATATTATCTGTATTTATGTTCGGCTACAATAAATATACATATTTAACTTTTTTACCAGCGTACTACAAACAACTATCATCTATCAACATCTAAAAGGTTTGTTTGGTCACACTGGCTCGTACAACCACTGAACCTATAGAATTTAACAAATAGCAGCTCAAATCGTCGTCGGTAATACCTAGAGGAGCTCAATGGCGCAGGTAGCTAGCGCGTTCGGCTGGGATCGTTGAAGTTAAGCAACTTTCGCAATGATCGGTCATTGGGTGGATGGCCAAAACTCTTCTATCTCGAGTTCCTCCGTGCTTCGAAAGGCAAGTTATGCCGTTGGTCCCGGCTGCATCTGCAGGGTCATGGCCCAATCACGCTAATCCATCCATAGGAAAGGCCTGTTCCCCACCAGTGTGCACATTAATAGGCTGATGAATACCTATAGAAGGTATGTGCGACACGTAGTTGTTGCCGGTAGCGCGCCAGGTCGCCGAGGTGCACGAGACAGTGCTGGGTGATGTAGCGCGCGGCCGCGGGCGCCGGCATCCTGCCTGCCGCATCCGAACCCGCCGAGCCCGCGCCCCAACCCTCCACGAATCCGAGCAACGAGGCGCGCCGTCTGAAAACCGACCGATCGAAAGGGCGCAAACTATAAATATCTATGGGTTCGAAACGGTCGTATTCTAATCTTTAAATATATAAATCAATTGCTGTTCGTTAGTCTCGCTAAAACTCGAGAACGGCTGAACGGATTTATGTTATCTTGGTCTTGAAATGTTCGTGGAGGCACGGTAATATTATCTATACAGTATTGCGACTCGGCCCTGTCCTTAAGGCGCTTAGCAGACGACGGGGCGGGGCGGGCATTTTGTCCGCGAAGCAATAAAGACCGCGTCTGCCCGTCGACGTCTGCGGCTGCCCGCGCCGCGTACACAAAGCACACGACGGGCAGAGGCGGTCAGTTCAGGACGTTCGTTCTAGTGAATAGTCCATACTAAAAAGCGCGTTGCGCGGACTGAGCTGACCGCCCCGCGCCGCCGTCTGCGTTACTGCATATAAACTGGTTTGTATGATCCACGGCGGGCAGCCGCGGACATGCTGCGCCGCCACTGCCCGCCGGGCACCTGCGGCGCGGTCTTTTTGCCAGAGGGCAACAAACGCACACAGAGGTGTGCGTTTGAAGTATAGGAATCACTTTGTGCTATTATTCGCGGCGAAATTGACCGGCTCGCCCCGCCCCGTCGCCTGCTAAGCGCCTAAAATAACTGCCTACGGCCGAGCGGGGCGTTTCCACGCGGTAGGGCTGCCCGCCTACAGTATTTTAATTTCATCTAAGTAATTGAATTTATTTCTACTTTTGTGATAGTGAATGAATTAGGTACTGTTACATAAAATATAAAGGTAATATTAAGTGTAATATTTAATATAAAAAAATATAGATTTGAGACAGAAAAATATTTACGCCTTGACAGAGACGTACGAAAAGCTTTATTTTAAATTTGAAAGTATAATAAATACGCATTCGTATAAAAAGTTTAGTTATTGTAGAGTTCTAGCAACCAAAACCAGCACAATATCGACTATTGCTCTTTGCCATATTAAATTATGTAGGTATCTACTTAATTCAATCAAATATTCACAATACAAACGTTTAAGCATGGCTAACTGCTTAAAAACAATACACACCGTTCGGTCGTCGTCGCTGCGGTGCATTCGCGACTGGATGCCCACCGGGTGCCGCACGAACTCGAGTGGCGTAGGTATGACACGCTTTCCGACCGTTTTGTATGAAGATAGAATACTGTTTAAATAATATTACCGTGTTGGAGGTCTAAGGAAGGTTTAAAAGGTGAGAAAATATGGAAATATTGCGAGGAAGATAGTAAAAACGTCAATTAATTTTCCCATATAAACTGTTCTATCTTCTTTCCTGTCAAACATTTGACGTTCGTGCATTTTGGTACGGTAGCCTCGGGTCCTTCATTTATCCAAATTATTATAACCCATACGAAGTACGCGGGGTCAATTAGTGAGAAATAATGAAAAGTCTCCTATCTTTCGATTCGAAACTTTACCTCTGTTTTTTGTAGTTCATTCCAAATAATGAGAGGCACTAGATGTGCAGTACAGTTTCAGCATCAAAAACTTACAGTGACTCATTTTTAAGAGGTAGAGATAAGTTCTAATAGGTTTTTTAGACCTTTCAAGGAAAACAATTACGTCATGCATGATTTTCGTGTATTTTTTGACTGTTTATGCAGCACACGCAACGGAAGCTCTCAAAAGGAATCATATTTACCGTTTTTGCAATACTTTCCATTAATGCTCCGATTCTTTAATCGTAGCGTGATGTTATAACGCAAAGCCAAGAAATGAACTATCTTACACAAAAAGAAGATTCCTAATTGTGTCCCTAGTCCCTGAGATTGGCGCATTCAAACAAAAAAAAAGGTTTAAGCTTTATAATATTATACCACACTTTGATATTTGTAAAGAGGGGCCTTTTTACAAATCTGACCCCATCAAGCCCCTAAAGATAGTAAATCAAATCAAAATATAGGTCAGTAAAAATGTTTCTTCCAAAAAACTTAAAATATCAAAGGGTTTCTTTGTAACTAGGAAGGAGGCAAGAGGCACTCACCTGAATGGCAAGTCTAACTTGAATGCCGTGCAGATCTGATGCAGTAGGCACAAGTAGAAGCCAGCTGCAGCTTGCAGCACCCAAGAGAGCATTGCCTGGCCATCACTACGTAACGGATTCTGGTATAACAATAATAAAGATATAATAAATATAAATCATAGTTACTTCTATCTTTAAATGACCATAAATAACATATTTTTTATTTATTTAGCAAACTGAATATTGATTCTTTATATAATTGTAATATACTCCTCCATCCTTCTGGCGGGAGAGGGACTGATTTCTATCATCTATACAAATAAACATGTATATAAATAAAAATGGGTACACCCAAACACCTTGTACACATTTTGAGGTATCTCTATGAGGGTGGAACAGCATCGGTAAGAACAGACAAAAAGATATGTGACAATAGGCAATTAAAGATATGAAAATTATTCTTCTTGGGGGTTATAATGAGAATGAAATTTTAAATGAAACTTCTTTGATATTAAGGAATGAAATGTGAAATTTGGTAAATGAGCTCAATGGTTAACAACAATAGTTCCCTGTAAACAAAATTTGGAAATACATGCTCTAAACTTACCCTAAGGATAAAGCACAGAATAATGAATGAATATACAAGTTAAAAAACATAAATTTGTAAAACCTTTCTATCTTTTGATATAGCTTGCAGAGCTTCTATTTGCTGCTTGAAACCCACATTCCAGAGATCTTGTTCAACCTTCTTCTCCAATGCATAATCAAGGTCCAGCACCAATACTTTTTGATATACCTACAATAAAAGAGTTGAAAGTCTAAGGCCCGTATTACAGAATGACAAGTGTTGATCTTTACTCAAGTACAGTAAGAAAGGGATGTCGCTATATGCTATATATAGTGACATCCCTTTCGAACTATGCTCAAGACTAGATCAATCACTGAGAATCTTTCTGTAATACGGGCCTAAAAGTCATATACTTAATCATCATCATCAAAATATACACATGATGTATATGTGCATATTTTACTGATGATTAAGTATATAAATAAACAGGAAACAAACTTTTTGCAACTGCTGCTGAGAGGACCACAGGCTGCGCTCCTGCAGCATTGATGTTCCATTCTTGAATTTCAATATTTTTTGTTTTAATTCTTCTGCCTCCCTGAAACATGTGATAATTTTTATGTCACAACACAACTTTTAATATTCTTGTTACCTGTTTAAGGATCTACCCCTATAAAGTTCTTGCATATTTTCATCAGTATTCTCATGTATTTAGCCATTAAAACTCAGCACAGGGACCAAGATGGTGGTTATGTGCTTCAATTTAAAATCCAACTAATGTGACAAAGCAACCAGACACATACAGATACTACTTTAACTTAATATTGTATGATAATGCAACAGGCACTGTTAGAAGCGAGAGAGACGCTGTTTAGTTTCTGACCAGTTGAATGAGAAATTAATAATCATTATTAATAAACACTAACATTCCTGAACTTAACTCATAGTAAGGAATCAAAGCAAAAACAAATAGTGATTGACGAATTGTCTTACAAATTAGTCTCCAACCTGGCTGGCAATGACTCACTCTATGTCAGGAATCAAAGTTGAATTAAAGTTGAATTATTTCAATGCATTGCAGTAAACTCATATATTTTGAAATGGTAATGGATTAAATTTTATTAACATTGTAACTCCAATTTTTAAATCTTACTATGATGTTGTTTATTCAGATGATAATTTAAAATATACTTAAAAAAAAACAGTACGTTTTTATTTTAAATAGCCTTATCTTTACCTTTGCAGGTATGATTAAACAGGAACTTAATTTTAATTAAATAAATAAAAAGAGTCAAATGATAAACACGAAGGTTATATTACTAGCTAGACACAGGAAATTCATTCAAACCTTAACATCTGCACAGCGGCGTTTAGAACCATAGTAATAGAGGCTTAGAGCCTCAATATTTGTCACAGCATTAGGAAATAAACCTTGAAAATTAAAATGATAAAATGGAAAAATACTAAAAACAATCGAGATCCATACACTACACTACTGTCAGTAAAATGTCAAAACCAAACTGTCAGCTGTCGCCAGGGCTGCCAGAAGTCATTGTAGAAAATTATTTTACGCCAAAATGATGCTACATGTTTTACGCCAATGTAATGAACGATGAACAGAACAATTATTAAATGCATAAGCAACAAAAAATATTTTAATAAATTTGCCATTTGTGGATCAATAATTATATTATTTTATATTAAAAAAAAGGTTTAAAATAAACTTTAGTTTTGTGTCCAACGATTAACAATTATGTGCACTACATCTCATAAAAAAATTTGAGCCTGTCAGAGACATATCATGCTAGGTAATACCTGCATTACGAAGGGACGTTCATAATCCTGCATGAATTATTACTCTGTGTGTTTGTGTGTGGCATGCCCACATGCCATCATAGTTTCCAGTTGGCCAGAGTGCACTCAGATTCAGACTCGACAGAAAACAAGCGCGAGAAATAGGGTGCGGCCAGAGTGCACTCAGATTCAGATTTCGAAAACAAGCGCGAAATATAAACAGTGTAGTCGAAGGGTACGGCTAGATTGCACTCCTGATTCAGATTCAGATTCGGACTCAGAAAACAAAGCGCGAGAAAAAGCAGGCAACCCGCTTAGACTACACTGTTTATTTCTCGCGCTTGTTTTGAATCTGAATCTGACTCTGAATCTGAGTGCACTCTGGCCGCACCCATATACAGTGTAGTTTAAGCAGGTTGCCTGCTGCCACTATGGCCACCCAGCTTTAATTACACTGTTTATTTGCATGCTGCCACTATGGCCACCCTGCTTTAACTACACTGTTTATTTCTCGCGCTTGTTTTCTGAGTCTGAATCTGAATCTGAGTGCACTCTGGCCGTACCCTATTACTTTTCTCTATGCATCATAGCATCAAAAATGTCACTCAGAGACTCCAGCGCTGATGTCATTCATGTCATACAAAAAGGGTTCTATTAAAATAATAAATTTTATAATAAATTTATTGCTCAACAACAGTAGGTACACAAAAGCTTGAATACCCTGATTTCCATGCTAGGATTATAACCCTGTGTTACTACAGAAATCAGTATCTTCTCTCAAAGAAATGTTAAAAACTAGATAACAATTAAATATTTCGTGGCTCTGTTGTTGTTTTACTCAACATTATTACTAGGTATTGTGTTTATGAAAATGTATTATGATTAATATTAATATATACATATTTTACGTTATATTAATACATAAATAATGAAAGCAACACATAATTTCCTTTTCTATGATAGTTTTTTACAATTCAGTCTCACAGTACTTAAATATATAATAGCAAACAATATGATTTTCTTGAAATAATACTGTACAATTTTAGTTGATAAACATCTCGGTTGCTATACAATCGAATGTTACTAACCATTTTTATTTTAGACTTGGCCTCACAAAGATTAAGAGTTTATTAGACATCGTATCGTATAATCCTGTTCTGCCAAAAATCTACGAGACTTATTTCATGACATCAGTGGTAATGTACGAAGAAGTGTGGAAATGGTCACAGGAGTTCGCTAATTACAATATATTTAGACCCAAAGCATGAACAAGTGACTCTCCCATCCGTGTTTCTTTTATCTTTTTATCGCTAAAAAATCACCAAATTCAATTTCCGCCAAAATTTAGCTAAGATCAAAATATTCCGAAATTGGCGGTTAATACTTCAATCTGACTTAACTGGCTATCATCTAAATGTCAGTACCGTTTTTGGAAAATTCTATTATATTAAAAATTGCCGACAGTCGGCCGTTTGAGGGGATGTAGTGCAAAGAATACCAACTAGAACTATAAGATACAGTGGTGCCGTTTCTGGCGCGATTCTCTAAACTTAAAACTAAATTTAACATCAGTCTCTCCTTTTCATTCTGTATAGAGAATGACAAGGGTATACTGCTGTCAAATTTAAGTTTAGGTTTAGAGAGTCATGCTAGAATCGACACCAGTCTCTTCTTTTGTTAACTTAAACTCTTAGAGCATTAACTGGACTTGTACTTCTATCAACTAATGCCGGCACTTTACTGGGCTATTCGTATTTCTTGTTTGTGAACCTGACATCAGTCTGTCCTTTTTATTCCTGATAAAGCATGATAAGAACAGACCGTGGTCAAGTTTTCAAGTAGCAAAAACGAATAGCCAAGTGAAATGCCGCTATGAAAACAGTAGTATCCGTCTTTGTCTTCTACTGGGGGGAATGAAAAGGAGAAAAAACTGTCAAAATCAAGTGTCAGTGTGTCATGTCAAAGAAAATAGTACTTCACGAAGTGAATCAAGGGAATGGAAAATCATATTCTCAAAATATACTACCCAATTCATTAGTGTAGTATTATAATCAAATAGTTTTTTTCTACACTATGATGGATGTTGAAGGCTGCGATAATTTACCGGTAAATACTTTAAGACGAGATTTAAAATGTTTAAGTACCTTCATCACTGAATTTGTTATCCCCGTTTGTTCTGTAATGATGATTTAGGATAGGTTTTCATTTAATTTAGAAAAGCTGAACTTTTTTTATAAGTAATTTTCTCGTAGTTATGTTTATTTGCTCATATGTTGGTTACTCTTTCCAGGATAGTGCAAGTGTAATCTTCGGTCATAAAGTTTGCCATACCCGCGATGCCAAGTGGTTATGCTTAAATAATTTCTACGAAAAAGTTCATCGTCCCAACTTCTACGACATCGGCGGAACCTACATCGAGGATGTACCAGATTATTGGTTTATGTACAAAACAGAGCAGGTCTCTAGTATCTTTCTCCTTCATATATTTGTTTGCAACCGCCAAGAAAGTCTCTTCAGCATTGCTATCAGTAGAAACACTGATAACATGAAAGTTGATAAAAAGAATGATGCCATCTATCTTACTCAGTCTTTGAAAGAACATAGATTCAAGAAATCCAAAGAAATGTCTCAAAACTATCTTACAACATATAGTTTTTCTAGCTACGACCTGGATTTAATTAAAGACAAAATTTTTTACATATTTATATCCTTTGATTCCCCTGAAAATAGAGGAATGTGTCAAGGTTTTGTTGAGCAAGTAAAATTAAATCATGATCTTAAGGCTTTGTTGTCCGATCCTGTTGGATCTGATTTCACTATAGAGTCGGCAGACGGAGTAAAGTTTCAAGTACACAAGGTATTACTGGCAGCACATAGTGAAGTGTTCAAAGCTATGCTGAAAGAAGAAACAGCTGAAAGTCAAAATAGTTATGTAAAGCTTGTAGATGTGGGTAAAGAAGATCTACAGTGTATTCTAGAGTGTATTTACACAGGAACAGTGACTGATTTGGAAAACTGCAATTGCATAAATATGCTAATGTTAGCAGATAGATACAACCTGAAAAGCTTGAGAGAACTCTCTCAATATGCTCTGTCTCAACAGATCTCTGTTGAAAATGCATTAGAGATATTAGTTGTTTCTGACATGTATAATTCAGAGATGCTCAAGGCAGTAGCACTAAAATTTATTAAAAAGAACAAATCATGCATCCAAACAAGTACCTTCAAAGAAATAAACAACCCTGAGTTGTTAAGGCAGCTACTTGAATATATCATCCCTGCATAGGCATGAAATTTAGTATCTTATTATATTATCTCATTAACTGTGATTTCATTATATATATATATATTGTAACGTAGTTACTGCCTAAGTGATACCTGTATAAACTAATATAATATAAAAAAATCAATGAAAAGCAACATACTGAAAACATAAAAATAAACTTTATTGAATTTGAAACATAACTCTTTCATTTGATTAGATCTCATTAAATATGCATTACTATATTATTACCTATGAAATAAATATTGTTAATTTATTAGTTCAAGTTACAAGAGGTTGAAAATGGCTTGTATCATCAAGCGCTGCCGCCGCCGCCGCGAGCTCGCTGGCCCGCGGGGCGGAACCCGGGCTCCGGTGGCGTGCACTCGGTGGGTATATAATCATTTTGGAATGTTACTGGAAGTCTTCGTTTCTGTGGCAAACAAACATTTTCTTCAATTAAAATGTTAGTTTACACTTACACACTATTCCACGTAAGAGCCACTTCATGCGTCATTGCATTAGGAATATTTTAATCAGGGGCGGCGTTACCAATGGTTCAGGGTGTGCGTCGAACATGGTCACCGACCGTCTGCAGCTTTAAATGTAATTTCCGAAATCTTCACCGTATCTGTCTGACACACGGTCACTCCATGGGCCAGCGTCGCCACTGATTTTAATCGACAAACTGAACGAGAATCGAACTCGCATTCGTGAAATCAACATTTATGTCTACCACATCTTAGTGGCCTCATGCTAGAACCACACATCGACTACATAAAGTTCGCCTTCAAATTTTCAAACTTCATTTTGTTCTAATATTATCTGCAGTTGTTAGCTGTGTTTTTTTTCTTCATATTGTTTAATTCGAAATGATGTTTGACTATCTAAGTGACTACACTAATCACGTTTTAATAAAGCTAATCTCCATTTCAATTCCAGTCTCTTTCAAATGTGTAATTAGATTATATGCGTTCAGCAAAAGGATATGTGATTATCATGCAGGATAAGCAAGAAAAAAGGCCAATACATGTCATATTGTTTATTTATTATTACTGATACCGATACAGAGACGAATTGAGATATCTCGACTGGTAAACGCGCTATTAAATCAATCGATCATATGTGGTTGGATATAAAAATAAAAACTTAAAACAACCCTACTTTAGGGTATTAAGAAATCACTATAACATATTGGCGACATGAAACTTACCGATGAAAATATAAATAATAGCTACAATGACTATCATTAACAATGGAGAAAAATATATATTCGCGTGTATTAATACTGAATGATTGTGAAATAACTTCTAATTATCTAATACGCGGTATCATCAATGTCTCGATCGGCAGAGCTGTGATCTAGTTAATGACAGTGATCTTAAAGTTTGCATTATAAAAGACACGGTATATTCAAAATTACTGTATTACAGCTGCTCTCAGGGATGTGAATTGACTTTTAAAATTAGTGGTGTCACTTCCTTTGTGTTAAGAATAGAACGGAGAGCATGGTATAATGGTGCAATAAAATTTACTGAAGTCTATGAGTTCGACAATTGGGGATAACGTCACAGACTGGATATTTCAAAGGGGGTATTTGGGTATGTTGAGCCTAAAGGCGAAATTAGAATGGTTTGTTGTGAAGAATATGATTTGAAAAATGTTGTATAGGTAGTTAGCGATTACAAAGTTTAAATTACAACAACTCGCCACTGTTTTGTGGCCATTAGCTTTCCTATTTGAAATCTACGCCGTTGCTGCTTTGCGATGTTCAAATAACATTGTTGAGTAAAGAGATTTATGTGAAATCCAGTCAGTGTTAAAGATTTATTTTTGATTTGATTGACAGTTGTGCAATAATTGGTTAGATTGATTATATTTGCTAATGGGTTACATTTATCTAACAGACGCTGCACCATTTCAGACAATAAAAAAATGTTTTGCTTCTGACATTTCACATCTTTGCAAACCTATGACAAAGAAATCCCATTGTAATCTTTGATATATCAATTAATGCATTTTTAAACATAATTATGTATTATAGTATTACTCAACAGTATAAAAGCCGCAAAACAGCAACAGACCTAGCTCCTATTTAGTAATTAATCACTACTGCATAAACATCCATCCAGTGTCTCGTGGAATACGACAATACTCATGTGATACATATAAACCGTTAACTAGTCGGTTAGTGGATTCATGTATTACTTCACAACAGTTTTAACAGGCTGAATCAGCCCTGTGAAGCCCAACAACAAGCATGAAAGTTAGATTTAGAAACAGAAAGAACAAAAAATAAAACACTCATTGCAAGGTTCAGCATACCGATAGGCTTATAGGTAAAGAATTGATTCTAGCTATTTGTCGATACTTTTAGCTGTTACTGAGACTTTGTTATACTGAGCCTGCAATGTGTGCGTTTAACACTGAAGGGATGAGATGCGGACACAACACCAATCTATGTGTGTCCTGTAGAGGTGGCGATGGCTGCGTCGTGGCTAGGACACGGTACCGGTGACGTATATGTCATCTGTATCAGGGAGGCGACGCCCCTAGCGTTTACCGTTGTTGTACGAGACGCTCCTCAGTGGCGCTTTGAAGTTCGCCGCCGCTTGCTGTTGGATCTGGTACGCGAGCGGGTGAATCTTGAACCCGTACAGTCTGCAAGCGTAATACTCATGTCATCGAGACTACATTAAATAAAAGGGGTGATAACATTGAATCATGTCTGGTTCTTTCTAGTGACCGGAACGTGCAGTTTTTTAGCATACAACAGAATTTTCCAGGTAGGCATCTTAATCTTAAAGAGTACATAGGGCCCTAATCTGGCATAGTCATTCTAGAACAAAAATTCAATTTGACAACAGTGTATCCTTGTTATGCTCTAAAACTCTAAACAGAATGAAAAGGAGACTTGTCATATTATTTTATTTCAAGTCTACAGAATTAGATATGTTTAGTTCACTACTAATAAGTAAAAATATAATAGCACTACCATTATCCCATTACAAACAATAAATAAAATCAATCCATCACAAACAAATAACCAAATAAAACAAACCTAGGCACAAATTGTGAAGCGGGGCGCTTGGGCCGATACTCTGGATGAACCATGAAGACCATGTGAGGAAAGCCGGTGCCGAAGTAGGCGCCATCAGTGTGGTGGTGGCGAGAAGACTTTGGCGTGTACACGTCCATACAGCGCGGACAGTAAAGCTTCACCATCGCCTCCCCAGGAACGTCGGACAGACCTGACCAACCATATTGTTGGAATATCATTTCTCAGTTACAAGTAAATTATAATAATTTGATACAAAGTGAATGGTTGTATGATATTCTTCAATGAGACACAATAACAGGGCAATGTATTAGAATTACCAAGTGGCAGCATGGGTTGGCACTCGCAGTAAACACGAGGACAGTGTCCAAAATCACCTTGATGGAACTTCTCCATCATTTGGCCTATTCCTCTGTAAAAACCAATTGTCATTGTGAGCAAACTTTGATTTATTTGGTACAACTTACAAAAAAACAAAAGACAAACAGAAATAAACTATTTGTTTCCTAGGTTTTCACGCACATCACTCATTAAATAAAACTAGTTTTTCACGGGTTAATGCACGAAACTTTATTTATTTATTGACGTTTATAAAAAATAATTCCGATGAAGCAGCCTGTAAAGGCTGCAAAACATCAATAAATAAATAAAGTTTCGTGCATTAACCCGTGAATAACTAGTTTTAAGAAATAAACTAATTTATATACCTGTTTGTCAAAATGTAGCGAGCATGTATCAGTCCATATAGTATTTCCGAAGCTTGTTCCACCAGATCAGACTGATTGGGATTGTCATCAAGATCATCATCTGCACGGTTTAAATAAACAAGTATTAAAGAATTTAAACTAAACAATCACAAAGAAGTTTTACAACTTATTCAGTTTGAATTATTTCCATCTGTGTTCAAAACATATTAGGGGTTTTGCAACAAATATATTCAATTGAATTAGACAAAGAATCGTAATACCTTATACGGTATTCAATATCATTAAGTGATAACAATAGTAATAATCATACAAGCATTAAGAAATAGTGACTAAATTGTTCTACATTAATCAAACAGTAATTCATTACACTTGTACCTTAGTGGAATGCACATTAATGGGCAACAATTTTTAATAAGAGTGACTCATAAATTAGGACATACCAGGCTCCAGATCCAGGATCATGTCAAGAGCTTGCCTGTAGTGTGGTACCTGCTCATTAAGTCCAGTTAAATTGAATTTGTCATTTATATAGTCCTCATCCACCTATAATACATAAATTGGATTAATATATCATACGCCAACACAACATTTTACATTTATTGACAAATTACCTCACCTCACAAAAGAATTCATTGCCCCTTAATCCGCAGAACCAGGAAATCCAAGACACCTCCTCTGAGCTGCTCATCTTTCTGTAATGATATGATGTTCGAAATAACAAAAAGTTATCCTTTACTTGTCATCATCGTGAAACAACGCCTGAGATATGGATGGAACCCACAGTTCAATTAATAAACTTAAATGGACACTAGATTATAGTGATTATTTACAAAGTTGATACTTTCTAAATAAGGAAAATATTAATTAAATCTTATGCTAAGCATTTTTCGCGATTTCAACAAATACTGTACCTAATTATTAAGGATAAAAAAATAGTTTGACGAGGCTTACCTTTTCGTGCCTTGATTAGCCACGCTTGAGGGAGAGCGGTAGCGAAGGGTGGGAGAAAGAGATAGATAAACAGCTGTCAATTTGTTCCTTGTAGTCTATGATATTTTTGCACTCACTCGTCCTTGTCTATTATTATTTGGTCGGTCGTTCACATGAAGTTGAATAGATACTGGTGTCGATTCTGGCACAGTCTCTCCTTTTCGTTCTGTATAGAGAATGACAAGGATACACTGTTGTCAAATTTTAGCTTTATCGATACCAGTGTATCTTTGTCATTTTTTATATAGAATGAAAAGGAGTGACTGATGTTAAAAACTAAAAAGAAAAAAAAAAACTAACTTGTTTTAAGTTTAGAAAATCATGCTAGAATCGACAGCAATGTATACTTTCAACTGAATCTTCCAACCCATTTTTAAAGATAGAAAAAAGTAAAAATACGATTATTCTTGCATTATTTTGTAGATTACTTTGGTATTTTTAGAAAGAACTTCTGTCATCTCCATTGTCTTCACTTTTTTGTTCTGAGTGCACCCTAAACAGGTCGTTCATTAAAGAAATACATGCCTATTTCCCATGGACGAAGAATTTCGCTAGACATGCTTTGCTGGTTGAACTCGTCCGGCGGCATAATGCATAACGTTGAATGTTTCAACTACAGCATCGCTTCGCACAATCGAGCACTCTCCAAAGTAATGTTTTCGTGTGATGCGTGCAATCGTACCAACTCAGTGACAGAAAATTAAGTGTTTTGTCTTTAAGGCCGTATACAGAAAGAAAGCCGAAAGCCTATCGGCGCTTATCGGCGCCTATGGGCGCCGATCCTTCCTACATAAAGGAAGCCGATTAAAGCAGATCAAGCAAAATGTCGGACTCATCGGACGATGATTTGGTTTTGTTAGAAAATGTTTATTTAAAAATGCGAAAAACAGCTATACATCCTATAAATAGAGAAAGGAAACGTTTCGGAGAATACCATCATTTATTTGTAAAAAAAATGAAATTTGATGAACAATGACTTTATACATATACAAGAATGATTCAAGAAACATTTTATTACATTTTGAATTTAGTGAAAAACCGTTTGATGAAAAATTGGTGCAATTGGCATAAACAACCAATCCTTCCAGAAGAAAGACTTGTTGTCACTATTCGGTAAGTACGAAACAAATAATTTTAGCGCTTAGTTAATAAAAGATAAAGTTATTAGATTTATAAAAAGATTATAACTTAGATTGATTTAATCTAAGGATAATAATTCAATTACAAATTATTTATTATTCGGACCAGCGCGTGTCGGCGCATATCGGCGCCGACAGGCGCCGATCAGCGCCGATCGGCGCCGGTCCATAGAAAAAGGATCAGCGCCAATAGGCGCCGATAAACGCCGATCGGCGCTGATCGGCGCCGATCGGCTTTCTTTCTGTATACGGCCTAAGTTGGCATTGATCGAAATGTTTTATTTATCGTTAGTAATATTATTTATTGTTGAAATTTTTTGAAAGCTTTCATTTCATTGTAGTTTTTTTAATTATCAAAATTAATTCAAACTTTGTTAAAAAAACAATATAAGTATGTATGAAGGTAGAAACATTGACTTTTTTTTCAACACTGAACTTAGCCCACTCTGCTGGAGCATTTGAAAATTAATTCACGTTCCAATTAAGCTTCAGCATAATGAGGGCTACCGTTTTCTGCCTCACCAGATGGCGCCACTGTTGAGTGAGGTCCTAAATTGTAACTTTTAAAGTTTATTAATACGCACATGAAATCAAAGGTTACATTAAGATCGTATTTTAACACAAAAGAACCATATCCTAAACATAATAGGCCATGCCACAGTGAGGCGCAGTTCCGTTTTATTCGGAAAAAATGGGAACATAATCATTTTTCTAAGCTCAAATTTTTAATAACTGACATTCATTGCCACACAACTCATATTTGCCATAATTAAGCCTAATTGTTACCAATTATTCACAACATTATTTTAATTAGAAGTAAACCCTCGTAGTCAAGCAACAAGCAATAACATTTGACATTTCGGAGACCTCACGCTACACTAGCGCCTCTAGCGGCGGATTCATACGCGATAGCCCTCATTCGGCATTGTGCGCCACTGAGTCGTATTATGCTTTGTAATTGGAAAACTACCATAGTTACTATAAGTCGCCTAGGACGGGATGTATTGCTAGAAAATTGGCGCAGGAGATTCGGCTTAATAATAGGCTGCACTCAATACTCACACCCATCACATTAAATCAACATTAATCTGATCTGAGTGCAGTTTTTTACCCTAGTGCTGGCACTTTACTATTTTATTTTATTTTCATTGTGTTTGCGATTTATAAACTTGATAACAGTCTGCACTTATCATGCTTTAATGTAATGAAAAGGACAGACTGATGTCTAGTTTACAAACAGCAATCACACCAAGTCATATGAAGGGCCGGCATAGCGTTTCAATTTTGATAATGGTCTCGATTCTGGCGAGATTGTCTAAACCTAAAACTATAAAATTAACATCAGTTTCTCCTTTTCATTCTGTGTGGAGAGAATGGCAAGGATAAACTGTTGTCAAATTTTATTTTAGGTTTAGAGAATCTGGCCAGAATCAACCCCATTGTTAACTTTTTGACATTTCTTCCTAGAACGATACTCACAGCAAAGACTTTATATAAAAGTCTTTGGGTGCGGCCAGAGTGCACTCAGATTCAGATTCAGATTCTGAAAACAAGCGCGAGAAATAAACAGCGTAGTCTAAGCAGGTTGCCTGCTTTTTCTCGCGCTTTGTTTTCTGAGTCTGAATCTGAATCTGAATCAGGAGTGCACTCTGGCCGTACTCTTCGGGTGCGGCCAGAGTGCACTCAGATTCAGAGTCAGATTCAGATTCTGAAAACAAGCGCGAGAAATAAACAGTGTAGTCGAAGGGTACGGCCAGATTGCACTCCTGATTCAGATTCAGATTCAGACTCAGAAAACAAAGCGCGAGAAAAAGCAGGCAACCTGCTTAGACTACACTGTTTATTTCTCGCGCTTGTTTTCAGAATCTGAATCTGACTCTGAATCTGAGTGCACTCTGGCCGCACCCGACTACACTGTTTATTTCTCGCGCTTGTTTTCGGAATCTGAATCTGAATCTGAGTGCACTCTGGCCGCACCCATCACAGAAGATGCTCACAGATTGCATGACCTGTATAATCTGTGAGCGTAGGTTTGAACGCAACTTTGCTACGCTGTGTTGTTGTTGATTTCTTGTAATTTCTCATTTTTGAATAGAAATTAATAGTTTTGGCAGTGTATGAATTGCTAGGTATATAGTTGAGAATCTTAATTAACAAATAACGGCAACAGAATCTTCCAGGTAGGTAACACGTCTATTAAATTAACATTAACAACAACATTTCCAATTACTAATAGTCTGATTTTTAAATATTAATCATGGCTGTAAAACATACTTATCTCTGTATTATTATGTATAAGAATATCCCTTAACACATGCCTTGTGCGTAATAATGCATGTGTGAGGGAATACACACTTATAAATAGAATTATGATTCAAATTTCAATTTAATGTTCTTTGTGACTGTAAAAGTATGTGTATATTAATTAATTAAATAAATTAGAAGTCAGCAGCTTTAATAATTATCAATACATGGTGTAGTACAGTCATACCATACAGATACATACCCAGCGGACTCATACGCTCACATACACACCCACACATGACGCATATACACACAAACTCAAACTTTTAGAATACATTTTGTCAGTTTCTTGTCTTTTTTAAATGTAATGGACTTATGATGTTATGAATACTAAGGGGATTGGTGCTGTATACCTGAATACAGTCATTTTGCCTAGCTTGGCAGTAGATAAATTGTAACAATTTTAGTTACCACCGACTATTTCAGGGCGTACATGAGACTCGAAACTTATTTAATTTAAAATCAGGGCGCCGTGATACTGTGATTTGAGGGAGATAAATGAAAATGTCTAAAACAGCAGTGAACAAGATATTATATTGTTAAAAAGATTCAGATCTTATTTCATCATGGTTAAAACTTAATACTAGTCACATTCAAGTTAAAAATACATAGTTATATTTCTTCAAAGATTTTTCTTTTGATTTAAAGCTATTCAAACATTCAAGATCATGTGCTAATACAGTAATACTCAATTTAAGTTTCTTATATAAACAAATTACTAAACAAGTTATAAAATATTAAATTTTGAAAATCTAACAATAAAAATTTGTTATGTACTTATAATGGCTTTATAGTTTACTAATAGAAATCCTTTATCACGTTAAACAGAAATTGTTATCCGGAGTATGCACTGGTTAAATATCAAGAAGTTATAAGTTTTACTTAGCTTGGCAAGATCATGGGAGCATCAGGATCACTCAAATGTCCTCAGGGATGAAGCAGGACTTGCTGTCATCACGTGAACACGTCACTTTTTTGCTCAAGGAAGCTTCACAGGCTCATATATATATTTTTCCAAGGAGATTCCAATCAGGATCAAGTAATTGTGATTATTACTGTTATTAATTAGCCAAATTAATGGACCTAGAACCAATTACATATTTTTCTATAATTCAATAAAAAAACTAACTGGACCTACAGCCTAACGAATCAAATGTATTAAACTTACCCGTTAATCCGGGGAGAAATATTAAGTATATAATGCACTGACTACCACTGCTAGTCTTACTGCTATTTTCTAAGTATGGTCTTCAAGGTTCTATCAGCCAAAAGAGAGCGAATCTGTTTGTGCACTGCTATTTATAGGCTACTACAACACGTGACAGCGTCATTGCAAATTTCTCTCATATCACCATATTTGGTATGAGGAAGCACACGGACCGGTTTTGCTGACTCCGCCTTTCAATGTTTCCAGAACATTAATGTGACGTCACATCCATTTCCGCATCTCATTCAAAAGAAATTGCACACTAGCTCCCTCTAACTTACATTCCAAATGCAACTACTAGGTTCACACATATATTGTACTTGTCCATTGCTTTTCAAAGTGGATTTCGATATTGAATAATTTATATGCATGATGATAGATGGCGCTGAATAAATAATAATATTTCTACGACTTAATATTTAAGAATTATATTGCTAAGTTTTTAACGTTATTAAATTTAATTGCTACACAACATCCCCCTTATCTCAAAAAATTTTTTTTTAAAAAAATTTTTTTTTTAATTAATTAACCTGCAACTGACTTGCAGACAAATCAACAATACTAAGTATTAGCCAAGATAAAAAAATTTAAACTTATATACGTGAGTATCCATTTATTTACTCCACGTAATGTTCTAAACTCTAAGTCAATAGCAACAATTAAATATTTGCTGTTTAATGATTTTTCTTTTAGTTTCATGTAAATACCTTTCTTGGATCTAATATCCAGTGGTATTACATGACTTTTCTGTTCATCTTATGAACTTAAGGTAGTTAAGAAAACAACTCAAGATTAAAGAAGTTTGTATGTTTTCTAACTCAAAAGATTAAGATTATTTTCCAACAATCTTCCTATCTTTAATTATCAAATCTAAAGTATATGTACACTTCGTTATGCTTATGCCTTTCATACATCTTTACCTAATTTTCTATTCAGTTT